TTAATAAAAGTTTTGGTAAAAAAAATGTGGGATTCTGGAAGCATATTTCAGCTCTTTCCAGCTTGGTGTCATCTTAGTCATCATTGTACGTGTCCTTCTCTTCTTCCAATTCATGCATTAAGATTTTCCATTACTGCCTTAACAAATCTTTCACAGAAAGTGGCATGCAGTAAATGCCAGGGGACTCTTTTGGTTGCGCCATACTGACCTTGTGTTTATGAGATCACCTGGTCAACTAGAGTATATATTTGGATATAGATGGAAGATCTAGGCCCGACATCTCTGTTTAATCATATTACAGTAATCACTACAGGGAAGAACTCAAGTTTGAAAATAGCTTTATATTATGCTTCTCCAATAAATAGGAAAGTGAGTCAGTTTATAATTCACGTCCACAAACGCTTCCCCTTTTGGGAATAGGAATATCAGTTTTCCAGTGTTCATGATTATCATTTATTTACTGCATCATAGAGTTACTCAAAGGCAATTTGAGCAAATCCACTGTTTGGCTGTGCTATAGATAGGTACAAAATCAGAGAGAGAGAAAAACTACATTTGCAATAGCAGATTCCTCATTTATCCTTCATATAACCAAGCCATGAAATTATAATTGTCAGTTTTTCTAATAATAAACATGACACATAAAGAGAAATGACTCCTCCACTGAAGAACCAAGAAATTTATGCTCCCTGGTTTGGTCTGAAACAGCAAAGAGAGCCAGAATATATACATAACATCTAGAGATGTACAAATTGTACAGTGGAAAGAACTCTGCCACAAATATGCATTATTTCTCTTTTGGTGCTATAGTTACCCTTCCAACAGTTCAATATACTCACAACATCTGTGGTGAACTGCATGTTTGAGTATAGTCTAGGAATGAACAGTTCATTGTAATGGTTTTTCCAGGCAGCCATATTATTGCACAATAAATAAAATGACATAAAATATGCAGCTGCCTTGAAATCCAAATATTTTCCCCAAGCTAGCACTTTCATTCCAGGGATATTGCATTTTTGTAGCTCTCACAAACAGCAATGTTTTGATTCTCTGCACCATCCCCAGAACACTCATGATTAGCAAATGTAATACCGGTCAAAGAATAAATTCAAAGCCCTATAATTTGTTTTATGTCACTTACTTATCTTAACATATTCTGCATTAAAGCTTTTCTGACCTTGCACATATTAATTAAGAAACCTATGCATTTTGGAAAGGTAATCAAAAGGTTCAAGGAATAAAACACTGTAAATGGTTTGTCTGCAAAATGGAAGTAGCACAGCTTTTCTGAGCTTTCACTTTGCAAGTGACTGGCCTATAAACAAGATTTTAGCAGGTTCTCTTTGGAACAACTCTATTTAATTAATCTTCAAGCCATTAACCATTCATTTAAAATGCCACTTATAAAATCTTCATTTTGCACATTATCAGTTGTTTTGCAAATAGCTATCCACGAACAGAGGCATAATGATCTCCCTTTTCCCATTCTTGTAGCTTACTAACCTCATAGTCAATTTTGGCTTTTTAATTACTCACAATCATATTAGCATTTAAAATTAAATGGCAAATTAAAAAAAAATAATGTGCACAAACATAAAAAGTTAACATTCTTATTACAGAGCTGCCTGATGGAAGAAATAAAACCTACTTTTGTTTAAAGGGCATCATGGGGTTTTGTCTAAAATGGAAATATAAACAGAGATGAACATTTTTTCTATGTTTTCTATTATGTTTTTAATAAATACCAGTGAATTATTTTTAAACTATTTTTCACTGGGGGGGGGGCGTGGAATCCTTGCCAGCAATAACTTTTCAAATTTCTCAATGAACTCAGTTGGACTAGTTATGCTTTTGTGTGATATATCACAATGACAGCTGTTCATTTCCAAATGGGGGTCTTAGAGAGAAAACAAAAGCAGCAATTTCTAAACTGGAATTTACATCTCAATTCTGGGCTTAAACTGTGGGTCTGAGACCAAGTTTCCTGTACATGCATCTAAAACCATGATGCCTGAACTCAAGCCAGAGTTTAAGTGGACTTTCCCCACTTCTACCTGATCAGGTGTGGCAGGGGTAATTTCACCAGGAAGGATAGTCTAGGGCAATGTTTCTCAACCTCAGCAAGATGTGTGGACTTCAACTCCCAGAATTCCCCAGCCAGCATAAAATTATTGAGTTTGAAAAACACTAGTTTAAGGTTCTACTGTCCTATTTTGACTCTTTATTCTTCCTTTCTTGGTGTGTTCTTCATTTTTAAAGGAATTATTTGCTGAATATTTTAGGATCAGAAGGCTACTATAAGCAGGTGTCTTAAAAGATCAGGATTCTCATGTAGCAAACCATAGTGTGTATGTATCTAACTTTTAGAAATTTGGGGCTGTGGTAAAAAGTGGTCTGAATCCATGCAAGAAAAGCTTATGCTAAAAAGACATTATCCTATGAAATTATGACCTGTCAGCCACATTCTAAATGTTACGATAATAGAGTCACCATATTTAAGCCTGTGGGTGAGAGACAGAATGATTTTGAAAGAGGTGGTCCTTACAGAAAGTACATGAATGGAGTAAGTGGATCTTATGTGGTGCGGTTGCGTTCAAGGAAGTATTTGTACAGAAGATGAGGAACAAGAGAGAGAATGATGTATTCAAATGTTTTGGGTTTTGAGGCTCAGAAACAGCTGGTACTCACACCCCATTTTCTCTTTTAGCTTGAGAAGCCTCACTTTCTGTAAAACAGATATTTTTTAACTCCTCCACACCTAATGTAACAACTGCTTCATGAATGAGCAGTCCACCCCAACCAGTCATTTTACAAAAACCCATAAAACTTTTCCAGGATGCCTAGGTCTGAAAAAGGAACACACACACACACACACACACACAAATAAATGAAAAGGGCTCACGTAGCTGTTCGTATTGTAACCACAACTCTGGGCAGCTCACAAAATAGAAAAACGGCAGGAAGCCCCAATCAGAATAAAGATTCAACAAAAGCTCAATAAAAACCCCCGGCATTTTCAAAAGTATCTTGCACTTTAAACACTTGGAAAAACTTAACAAATAATAATAAAACTCCAAATACAAAAACCATATTGGACTAACATTAAAGGTAAAACTATGGGTTAAAATATTTTACCAAAGGCATCATGGGATGAATATGCTTTTATTATTATCCAGATTTCTCAGATGAGGGTAGACCATGGTTCAGCCTCAATCAGTTATCTTTGCCACCTTTCATAATCAATTATATAAGTAATGTAGTATATGGCCTAATTGACTAAAGCTTAAGTCTATAATATGAACAATAGACACTCAGAGAGCTAAAATATTTAAATTTTTACAGTGATTGAAATAAACAAAGTTGGATATAAAGAAATGTTGAAGTTGCCAAAAACAAATCTCAGTTCAATACAGTTCTCTTCTTCCAAAAATTGAGATAAACAAAGCATGCTTTTTTCTCCCAAACAGTTCCACACATCTCAGTAGTGACTTCTTCCTCACTCTTCAGTTACCTCCAGCTATTTGTCTTGTTTGCACTTTCACAGAGTCCCTCAAAAACGTCTTGTTTAAACACAGGAAGCCACATCAAAGACAGAATCTCACTGTTATGGTTCCATGACTGTGACTAGGGACGCACGCTTTCTTTCAGTCATATAATAATAATGCTATCAGCCTAGAAATTTGACATTAAGGATTAAAAATGGCTCCTTTCTCCCTGCTTATTATTCAAAAGACCCTGAAAAGTAATCTGTTTTCTGAAGCCATGTTTTGCAATCTGCATAAATATGCCATCATTCTCAGATCTTCCTCTGGCTTAATTGAAAGTGTATATCACAGAATATGGAAAATGTAAACTGTAAGCATACATAGTAAAACACTGTATAAGCAACAAGTTTTTCTAGCAAATGGGTATAAAATGATCATGTCCTCCCCTTCCCCAAAAGCCTGAACACGAAAGTCTGTTAAGGTACAGAACTTCAGAAAACAGAAAGAAAACTTCTTACTCAGTTTGCACTGAAATTTAATTTGAGGCAGGTCAATTAAGTCAAGTTTATGAAAGAAGAGCCTTTTGATAATAATTTCAATTTCATAATGACTTTGAGTAATGAATCTACTAATGATGCAAACTTATTTTGTTTCATTTTAAATTCATTTAATATAAATTTATTAAATTAAATTAAATTAATTAAAATTAAATTTAAATTATAAATTCTTGATCATTTAAAATCATTCAGCCCCTTTGAGTAAAATTATAGATCAGAAGCAAGGGGACCCCCACTTCTTTAAAAAAAAAGCAAATGACTCTAGAATTAGAGAATATGAATATGCTGTTTATCCACTGAAGTTCCATGACATGGAACCTCAATGGCTGTACAGCATTAAGCCTGTGTTAAAAAACTACAACAACTGGGATCATAGCAGGACAGGGCCAAATCTGCACCAGAAAGCCTTCTGAAGCAGTTGGGTGCATGGTAGCACATTGCTAAACCTGCATTTGGACTGTTCTCTCTCTGTGTGGGGTATGTTTGGGAGGTGGAGACTAAAGTGACATTCACTGTTAACAAATCATAAACACACACTAGGGTATTAGAAGAAGGCACTGGGGAAAAGAGAAGATTGATTGTGAATGCTGTACCTGGCCGAGACAGTAATAAAATCCTGCAACTTTGCACAGATAAAAGGGCAAGGTAGGAAGTCCCTCTCATAGAAAACAGTGATGCCATGGGCTGTAGAAGCTCAGCAGAAGCTCCCAACTTAATCAAAGGTAAAAGGTATACATTTCAAAGGTAACAACAGCTCTTCTTCATTTTTGAGAATGCTGAGGGAGTGAAGGAAGAAGACACATTCCAAGGTGCATGGAAAGTTTGCTATGTTGTGAAAATGGCCAGTATGTGAAACTCATTCTTCCAAATATGTTGCCATGTTAATTTAATATAATATGGTTATGTTTAAAAATATTTACACATGCATTAGTTTTTTTCCCCATGACATGAGTATTACCTCTCAACAGAAGCATGCTGATGGGATGGCTTGTTTATCCTTGCATATAATCCTTCTAAGTGGTCCCTGTCCAGAGGTGCTGCAGGATTATTGCACCCACCAAAAGCTTCAGAAACAGGTGGAGAAGAAAGCTGGTAGGAGCTGATATCTGCATATATTTTTCGGAAGTGATTCACTCGTGCGTAATTTGGGTCTGTCTCATCATCATCAAGATCAGGTGGGGGTCCCATAGAAACTGTGGAATACTCAGGAAGTCCTCTGATCTGCTTCTGACGTAGTTCCTGATGTTTTGCACCAATCCTGGGAGACACAACAACTAATGTCAGTACATACTGCCAACTTAAAACAGGAAACCTACTTCATTAAAGTTTGATTAGATCAATTTAATATGCAAGCCAAATGCCAGTGACAATCATTTGACTTTTAAAATCACAATGTCAAAGTATACAGGTAGTCCTCGTTTAGTGACCACAATTGGGACCAGCAACTTGGTCATTAAGTAAAGCAGTTGCTAAGTGAAATCACGACTGTGCTTATAATCTTACTTCAGCTTTCCTTTACTTCATAGACCTGTGAAGGTTGTAAATGCAAGGGTTGGTCGCAAAGTTACTTTTTCATCACTGTCGTAACTGCAAACGGTTGCTAAATGAGGCAGCTGCTATATGAGGACTACATGTAACAGCACATGTTAAGCAGGCAAGATAATCACAAATCCACCATAATTCACAACAATAAACATCTAATCCCCTTCCAAGTGTTTTCAGAGCCATGGCTGAAATGCCAAACATAAGTTACATGGAGAAGTAAAGGCAAATCTAACGAAGTCTCTTTTAAATTATCTATATCTCCTAAAATATGTTCTTCTTTTTTGCATCTGAATTAGCCAATATTACCAATGCCGCTTTTATCATATCTTCCTCCCAACTTAACAAATCACCTATATTAAATTCATTTGTGAGAAATGTGGCAATGTGAGATACAAATGCAAATGGAAATTAGTGGAGTAAAAAGTCAAAGACCTAAAGCAATTTACTAGGGTTTTCTACATTTTGTCCCAACACTTAAATTGGGGACATCATATCTCGTTATGTGGAGATTAGAGAGAGAATAATACAGTAAAAAAATGGACAGAAGCCTGGCAGAGATGAATTGGTACACGTAAGTGAATTAAATACTATTACTGGCAGTATTCCACTATGATAAATCTTTAAGTGGTATTACAAATGCGGCTGATAATCAGTGGCATTGTGTAATCTGTTGGGAATAGGAGAGGTAGGAAGACACCCAGGTATAATTTCAAACCTAGTCAGATTCAGATGATTCATCGTTTGCTTTGTGGCTGGAAACTTTAAACAAGGCACTGTTAATAATAAGAAACTTAAATGTTCAGCTGCCTCACTCCGTAATTAAAGCAGCAGAAAAGATCACAGCAGCCAGATGAGCCTGGTGCAGAGAGAGCAGAGAATGAAAAGCAAGAGAAGGATTAAAGCACAGGAAAGCTGCCAATTAAAAAGTCAGGATTTACCCACCATTATTAAATTCTGTAGCTCAAGAAAATGTTCTGGAAACAAACAGCTACAGAGGATGTATGAAAATGGTAAGAGAATAACAAATGTTAAACTATCACCTTCTGTAGCAGAAAAAAATTAAGAACCATGGAGGAGGAGGAGAATGAAAAATAAGAACAAAAATGGATTTAGTAGAAGACAGGGAAAATGCCTAGAACAGAAAAGATGCTCCAGGAATATGAGCAGTCATGAGAAGAAATTAAGGTCAGAAAACCAAGTTTAAAGAACACTTGCATACTGTTTATGGAAGGGTATTTTATTAAAAGCAGTCTGAAGTCAGAAGGCTTCTTCAGACCTTGTGAGCTTTAGTATATCTAAAAATCAAAGTGTAAATATAAATTAACAGGCATTTACAATGGCAACTTATGTATCATGGTATGGCATTCATAGTGCGGGTACAGGAAGCCTTTACCGGCTCCAGTTCTCTGCTGGGTAGATAATGACATGTTGGAAAACTTGCAAACGAATACAGTTGTGAAAATGGCCACATTACCTCTTGAAATATGAGACATACAGAGATTTAAATTTCCCCTTTCATAAGCCAGAAGACCTGGGAAAGGAAAGACGGGGTCTTGTGTTGTTATGAGCTCTAGAGTAGGCACTGATCTGTTCCTGCCTTGATATTACCGAAATCTGCAGAAGTCTTGGGGAGATGAGTAAGGAGATCACAGTGCCACTGGTCAGGGCAGGAATCATTGGCATCTAAGTAGCTGTCTGGATCATATGTCTGCGTATGGGTTACATATGAATTCTTAATGTGTCTTCAACAGACTAATTATATACCATGTATTGTAAGCACTGATACTTTCTAAGCTGGCTCACATATAGGCTCTGACTCACAGTTAAGTCTAGCTTTGTCAAACATAGGGATGGACAGTGCTTTCTCCCTACCCATTGTCCAAATGTTAGAAAGCCATACAAGCCCCTTTCTCCAAAAACCAACTGTAATGAGCTGTGAGAATAACCTTGAGGAACAGGAAGAAGAGCTGCAACCAAAACAATGGACAGACAAGAGAAATCTGAGTCCAAAATAGGAAATGTAATTTGAGAAAGCACCTCAGACTTGACCCTCCCTAGTTCTCTTGAACGGAAAGGCAGAGATGGAGAGGTGCATTCAGACTTGCAAGATTCTGTTACTGCAACCTTATAATAAAAGTAGTATTAGCATTCACAATTTTGGTCTCCAGGCAGGGTGCTGCAGGGCAGGTAACCAGGCACGTGGCTCTGCACCACACCAAGATACTGCCCAAATGCAGGACCAACCAGGAATCAGCTCCCCAAAATAGGCAAATCAGAAACTTGCCTGGACGAGGACCCAGTCAGGACTCAGATGCTCAGACTAACCAACCAGAACCCAGCGCAAAGGAAGAACCAATCAGGAATCAGCATGCCAAAAATGGCCAATCAGAAGCTGGCATGAACAAGGACCAATCAGGAACCAACACCACCAAAATGACCAATCAGGATCAGCCACAGTATTGTCTAGACCGTGGTCACTAAACCCTGAGGCTCAACACTGCCCAACAGATACTGGCCATGAAAGCCTACACCGGTTATAAAAGGATTAGGGTTTGGGTTTTGAGTTGAGAAGGACACTCATAATCATCTTAAGTCTTTAATTATAAATAAGCAACATCCTCATTGTTGTCACTCAGACACAAGAACAGATTCCAGGATAGAAAAGGAGATACTCTTCAAATGAAAGAAATCCCTGGAAAGTAGCAGGAATTGAAAGCAAATAGCTAACAGAATCAAGTAAAGAGTCCGATGTTACAACAGATAACTATAAAGAAGAAGCATTTCCTTTTATTTCTACAACGCAACAATCTCAGCACATAATTAGGGAACTGATGAGAAAAAGGCTTAATTCTCCAAAGAATCCTTAAAGAAAGATGAAAGAAAGATCACACAGCAAAGAGAAAAGAGGAAGCCCTGCTTGTCTGTTCAATGTTCTGCTGGAACAAGCATGTGGATAAATATGCGGAAGGTTAAAACCTAGAAATTTGTCAGCAGCAATAACAAAATTCTTGTCAGAGTGTTCCTACACGATAACAGTTGAAATGGATTTCTGTGGGCAAATCAATGCACCAATAAAAAAAGGGCGGAGGACAGTTGAAGAGAGTGTGGAAAGTAACTGGACTGATTACACTGTCATTCTTCCTCTCTCTCACACATGGCACAGTATAGAAAGATAAATATTTCATAAACTATTCCATGGGAGAGTCATATTTATAAATAAAGATGAAAGCTCTTAATTTGGCTTTTAAAACTATATTAGCCTGTTTATCAACCCCTGTTTCAGAATACTTCAATTTTTCTGACAATGCTTCTTGTCTTTGCAATGATGCAAAGAAGTGGTTGTAAAGATATCAGGCTGCCCAAGGTCCAAGCAGTTCATTTGGTTTCCATAAACACTAGTACTACGAGTGGCATTCTACCAAGAGGAAATTCCTCCATCAATTTTACTGCACGATTTTTATGCTACTGTAAAAGAAATGAATAGGTAGAAGTAGAAATGAATGCAAAAATCTGGATAGTAATGCTGTTGGTGGCCAACACAGTTCTACAAGGAAAGCCTTGAGGAGGCTCCTTAAAAATACTATAATTAGTTTTATTTTCCTCCAAAACTTCAGAAATACTTAAAACTGGAGCCAAGGAGAAGCCCTTCAGCACAATGGTTCAATCCATCTCACTTATAACTTCCCTTCAAGTTGGATAGTCTTGCTGTCAGTTCTGGTACTTTGTACAGAAAAAAGTAAGAATTGGAACACCACAATTTTCTGTTGTAGAGTGAGGAAAAATGTAAAGTTTTCATTTTCTCTCATATAAGTGTATCCTACAGTTGCTTCCTCAGCTGTCACCATACCTGCTAAAAACCCACAATATTATGTTATACTCAGTTAGCAAATACTAGGTGATGTGAATTTCTCCATGATCAATGTTTCAACTCTTTGACAGGGTTATTATAATTGCATTAGTATTTCTTGTTTCTTGCCTCTCCCTGGAAAAAATCTATACACTTTCATCAATGTTCTCTTTTTTATTCAGTTCACACTTTCATTTGGTAGTAAACAATACTTGAACCATCTTGTACACATTTTGTCTATTTTATTGTATTATTTCTGTCATGTTTTCTTTGCTGGTTTAAGGATCACTTTCCTAATTTTATTTTACAAAACATTGTTGACCTTTTATTTTATCAATGTAGAAGCTTAGCTGCCTTCTAAATGAGATGGCCTAGGAGTCCAGGTTAATTTCTTTAAAATGATATCACTGTATCCTACAGGGCATTGTGAGGATTTATTTATTTATATTTGCAATATTGAACCCTCCTTGCTGCTAAGAATGTACCAGGAAGAAATTACAGGTAGTCCTCACTTAACAACCACAACTGGGACTAGCAACTCTGTCGCTAAGCATGACCGTGCCAGACTTACAATGACAGTTCTTCTGCGGTCATTAGGTGAATCACCCATGGTCAATAAGTGAGACATCACATGATTGAGACTTATGATTTTACTGCCAGCTTCTCCATTGACTTTGCTTGTGGGAAGCCAGCTGTGAAGCTCACAAATGGCGTTTATGTGACCGTGGGATGCTGTGACGGTCATAAATGCACATGGGTTGCAAAGTGCCTGAATCTCAATCATGTGACCGTGCACCGGTTGTAAGCATGAGGATCAATACTTTTTCAGTGCTGCTGTAACTTCAAACAGTTGCTAAACTGGACAG